GATATATCCCAATCATATAACTCAAGTAGATGACAGATATTGCCAAGTGTTCAACACTTTTGATCCTGACTGTACCTATGATCCTTTATTGATGACAGGAATATCATAATAATTGACCAAAGTTAAAAGCCCCAAAACTGGACTCTAGCCGTAACCAATCGTTTAATACATCAAATTTATAACACCAGAAATAATTATTGGTCATGTTTATGCTTGACTTTAATTAATTCAGTAAAGTACATAAAGTTACCTACAAGATGAGTATGTTTAGTAAATAATAAAGTACTCTTAGCAACATTCACTTGTAATACTGTACCAGACCTGTGACTGACCCACTCGAGGAATTCATTGACGTAAAGTTAGTGGAAAGTAAAAATATTCATCACAAATCAATAAGTTCTGGGTCAAGTCATTGAAAGAAAACATTTAAAATATATTACCAAAACTATGAACCAAAGATACAGGAAATATTGTAGTTAAGCATCAATAACTATTATGGTTAAACTAAACTCACTTGTGGGTAAGTTTTGTAATGAAAGGTTTTTGGTTTTTATAGTTTAGTTAATATGAACCATAACTTGTACACTTAGGTTAAGTTGCTGTACAGTTACTGATAATATTCCCTAGACACTTGTTCTCAAGGATCATTTGGTGAAAAATTCAAATTAACAAAAATTCTTATTTTTCTATTGAGTTTATAAATTTGGTTCTGTCAAGTGTTAAGGAATTTTGTCTAAAACACTACAGTTCATTTTGTCATTACTATATTTAAAACATTTTTATGGTTAAAAAATTTGAATATTAATTTAACATTTTATTTTGTATAGAAATGTTGTTCTGAACACTGGAGTGCCGTGCTGCCCTAGACTGTGATTACTGGTTACTGCCTTGGACTTCCCTGTACGGCTCTGCTCTGTGCTTGCTGGCTGGCTGCTGCCCTGGACGGCTCTGCTCTGTGCTTGCTTGCTGGCTGCTGCCCTGGACGGCTCTGCTCTGTGCTTGCTTGCTTGCTGGCTGCTGCCCTGGACGGCTCTGCTCTGTGCTTGCTGGCTGCTGCCCTGGACGGCTCTGCTGTGTGTGTGCTGCTGTCCTAGACAGCTCTGCTCTGTGTGTGCTGCTGCCCTGGACTACCGCTCCCCTGGACGGCTCTGCTCTGTGCATGCTGCTGTCCTAGACGGCTCTGCTCTGTGTGTGCTGCTGCCCTGGACTACCGCTCCCCTGGACTGCTCTGTGCTTGCTGCCCTGGCCTGCAAATTTATAGAGCCATTAAGTTTCCATTAATAAATGTCTAAATGTCATTACGTCTTTATTAACTTTTTCAAGCATTTACAATATTTTCAACTTTTACAGAAAATTGACTAAGTTCAGCTTCAGATTTTGAAGCAAAATAATTTAATGAAATACTTGAAAAAAATATCTTAATTCATTATATACAAATATAATATACAAATGAAAAATAAACAATATATAAATAATATATATATACTGTATATATAAATAAAAAAATATAAAATATAAAAAAATATATATAAATAAAATATATAAATAAAAAATATATAAATAAATAAAATATAATTAAATAAAAAAATATAAAATAAAATATATATTAATAAAAAATATATATAAATAAAATATATAAATAAAAATATATAAATAAAATATATAAAATAAAAAAAATAACTAAAATAACCTAAAAACCTGAAAAAAAATAGCTAAAAATATGAAAAAATAGCTAAAAATATGAAAAAATAGCTAAAAATATGAAAAAATTGGCATTTTTTTTATGAAAAAATGGCTAAAAATTGCAAAATTTGAGCAAAAAAATTTCCCTTTTTTTACCCTTAAGTGTTTTTTGAGTTTGCCATTGCCAGGACTAACGTTGAAAAAATTTGGTAAAAGATAATCGGAAGCGTCTCCGGAGGAAGGCCTTCAAATTATCATTCACCAATAATATAAAAAAATACAAGCATAATGGATTACCTGGCCGTGGGAAGAGTAACTCAGTAGGGGCCCAGTGAGTTACTCTCCCCACGTCCAGGTAGTCCGTTATGCCTTATAATACACAGATGCCAAGCTGGAGCTCGTAAGAATGGCACAAATGTTTTACCTCTAAAGCCACACAAAAATTTATTACTCAAAATATGCCCAGGAATAATTTTGGCCATTTTTGGACTTAGAATATTTTTAAACAATGAATTTTTGGACTTAGAATAAATTTTGGACTTAGAATACTTTAAACGATGAATTTTTGGACTTAGAATATTTTAAATGATGAATTTTTAGACTTAAATATTTTAAATGATGAATTTTTGGACTTAGAATATTTTTAACGATGAATTTTTGGACTTTCATTGAATAACTGAGTGGTTCAAAAAGTTGCCTTGGCTGTCATATACAATATTATATTTATAATTATTGTGCAAATATAAATAGTTATAAAATGTACTTACAATATTAAAGTAAATAATACAGTAATAAATAATGAGAGGTGAGATCGTAGATGATATTCCATAAGTGTAACGGCCACACTGGTAAATGAAGTAAAAACCCTCATTGGAGAAATATAAGATGAAATTTTGGAGCTGATTTGACTATAGTGCATTTTTTATCAGATGAGAAGAGATGCCCCGCCCCCTCCTCAAGAGTTACACCTGATTGGCTGTTGCAAATCTGTCCGATTTCCTCCTGAAGTAATGATGTATTTCTAAACGAGTTTATTCATAATAACCATTTCTGACTAGAAAGACATTTAGCTTAATTATTTAAAGATTCATACATTAATTATATCAAACATAAACATGTAGGAAGTTTATCAGAAATATTATACAAGAATTAACTGTTAAACTCTGGTGGCAAATTGACGCTCTCGGAGGACGCATTTAATATATACTTATTTTTACCCACAATAATACACAAATTACGTATCTCTTCTCAGCTGGGATAAAACACACTATAGGTCCCTCTTCTGCCAACTAACGCAACAAAACAAGGGAGAAATACATAGAACAAAGGAAAAGTCTCCTGAGTTAGGTAGGTTGGGGATTAATCTTCTTGATGAGAGCAGTGGACCCCAGACCTGATCCTCAATACTATTACACTTTCTGAATATCATCCACATATTATCAGTTCACCTCACAATGTGCAGTAAGTCTTACAGTTATTTATTACTGTATTATTTACTTTATAATTACTGTTTGTGCACTTAAAAAATATTTGTTTGCACAGTAATTATAAATAAGATTATTTTGTGTGGCAGTCAAGGCATGGTAACTGAGTATGTTTGTTGGTTGGAATAATGAGGAACAATCTGAACAGAAAACGAACAAATAATTGAACAAAAAGATTGAGAAAGTGTGGAATAATGTCAAAATATTCGGAACTCGGTTAATTTGTATTTTCAGGAATTCGGTGGACCACAAACGGCACTATACTCTCATTAATTTGACAAAAGAGACTCTGCGTCACTCAAATTACCGAAAATACGAATTAACCGAGTTCCGAATATTTTGATATTACTCGACAATTCCTAAATTTTTTGTGTTCAATTACTGTATTCATTTGTTTTCTGTTCAGATTGTTCCTCATCATTCCAACCAACAAACATACTCAGGTACTATAGTAGCACCGACATTTCTTTACAACCTATCGTCATGTCATTCTTTAGCTACCTGTAACTCCCCTCCCCTCCACATTCATTTGTGTATCTCTTGACCCAGTTAGTTTCCTCCTTTCTCTCCTGAACCATCTCAGTTTAGCCTCCAGGTACTGTACTTCTCTCTGTTGCCAACCATCTTCCACATCTCACACAATCTTCTTTTCTCTTTTTATCTCTCTTTCCACTTCATCATTCCCGCCATCAACCACACTCAACGGAACATCTTTTATTATGGCCCAGCGTCTTGGTACACTGCCCCTCACTGGCTGCTTCCTAGCCTCTCAACTCATAAGAAAATGCTTCTTTTACATTCAGTTCCTTCACAATTCCCACACTTTCCTTCTTGGAACATCCACCTTCTTCCTCTCCCTCCATCTTTAAGTAACACACACAAGCAACCTGTTCTAATTTCCTGACCAAAATGTAGCCAATCTGGGTTTCTGTGCCACCTGCCTTAGGCCTACATGGTCAGCCTACTTGCCCTATTCTTAAACACATGTTACATACCATCCCCAAACTCAAGTGTTCTTTCACCTTCAGTATTCCTTATTCCAAAGCCTTTCCCACCACGCACACCTTCATAACCCAGCGCGACAAATTTGGACAATAAAAATAGTTTGTTTTAACGGAGATCACTACACAATAAACTTTATCTCCAAAAACAACATTAACTGCCATGACTATAACAGAATAATTGCCGCTCAAGTCACTCGACAGATTTTACGGCAACATTAAATGACACCGAACTAATGAGATAGAATTCCTAAACGAACAATAAAATGTATTTATGGTTTAGTTTAACCTAAATGGTAAATATATGTAAAGTACCTGAACGGTTCAACAGTCTCACTAAATCACACTAATTCTAAAGTCCTTAAAAACAATTTTGTTCTTTAATTTCAAATCATATTGTGATGGAATTCTAAGTCCAGGTAAAATTAAAATATAAATTTAGCCAAATTATACCTGGATAAACAGTGAGAAATAAAGGTGTTCTGGTTTATAATTAAAATAAGACAAATTGTCAATCTTCCAAAGCCACAGCTAAACACCTCAGTTTAATATTGACCTCCACCTCACACTACAACAGAGTAACACCTGTGATGAAACAACATTATCAGGGAAAAGATCAAAATATTTACATACACTAGACTACTTTAGATAGATAGATATATAATTATTATGTAAACTTATCACATAAGTTTACAATTGGTTCAACCTGCATATAGACAATGTAGGTATACAGTTCAGCATGTATATAGCCAATACAGGTATACAGTTCACCATGTATATAGACAATACTGTATAGGTATACAGTTCAGTATATTGTATTAGCCTCTCACATTAATATTATATAAATATGAGCTAAGGACATATATTCATTATATACATTCTATCACCCAGACTATTGAGCATACAGCTACATAAACATGTGTTCTGTCACACCTCCTAGGGTGCACAGCCCATAAACATTTCTTCTGTCACACCTCCTAGGGTGCACAGCCCATAAACATTTGTTCTGTCACACCTCCTAGGGTGTACAGCCCATAAACATTTGATCTGTCACACCTCCTAGGGTGTACAGCCCATAAACATTTGTTCTGTCACACCTCCTAGGGTGTACAGCCCATAAACATTTGTTCTGTCACACCTCCTAGGGTGTACAGCCCATAAACATTTGTTCTGTCACACCTCCTAGGGTGTACAGCCCATAAACATTTGTTCTGTCACACCCTAGGGTGTACAGCCCATAAACATTTGATCTGTCACACCTCCTAGGGTGTACAGCCCATAAACATTTGTTCTGTCACACCTCCTAGGGTGTACAGCCCATAAACATTTGTTCTGTAACACATTTTGTCACACTTCTAGGGTGTACAGCCCATAAACATTTGTTCTTGTGCACAGCCCATAAACATTGTTCTAGGGTGCACAGCCCATAAACATTTCTTCTGTCACACCTCCTAGGGTGCACAGCCCATAAACATTTGTTCTGTCACACCTCCTAGGGTGTACAGCCCATAAACATTTGATCTGTCACACCTCCTAGGGTGTACAGCCCATAAACATTTGTTCTGTCACACCTCCTAGGGTGTACAGCCCATAAACATTTGTTCTGTCACACTTCTAGGGTGTACAGCCCATAAACATTTGTTCTGTCACACCTCCTAGGGTGTACAGCCCATTAAACTGCAGACTCAACCCTCAGTGTGTGGTAGGTTGTTTAATTAATGACCTGTTGAAGTGTGATTACTGTCCAGTCACTTGACTCAAGAGAGTTCAGCCCAGTTCACAGCCCGACACGATGCCCTAAAGTCGGGTGTCGTGAGACCAGCTCTCCGGGCTGTACCTCGCTCTAAATATATCAGCTAATAACAAGCCAATAGCTAATGCTCATTAGTCTATCGATACCAAATAATTGTACAGACATTACTACCCAATATAACTATTAAATCAGCATGTGTGTTTACATTAAATCAAGGAACAACGAGTGAAGAGAACCATACCTGTGTGTCTTGCTTAACTTACAAGCTAAGATAATTACAAGTACAACCCAGGACAGCTGTGACGATTTAAACGATCTACGACTGTATCAAAGGTGACATGACGTGAGATGACCCTATATCTCACTCAGCTGTATCAAAGGTGACATGACGTGAGAAGACCATATATCTCACTCAGCTGTATCAAAGGTGACATGACACGAGATGACCCTATATCTCACTCAGCTGCATCAAAGGTGACATGACACGAGATGACCCTATATCTCACTCAGCTGTATCAAAGGTGACATGACGTGAGAAGACCATATATCTCACTCAGCTGCATCAAAGGTACCAGCTAACTAAATTCCTACACTCTGCTCAGGCAAGTGTTAACAAGTGAGATAGTTGGTATCTTACTACAGCTAAAACAATATAGACAACCCAGGTATAGTTCACCATGTATATAGAGACAACATTAAGGTATACAGTTTAGTATATATTGTGGAAAATGTATAATTCCCATGTAATAATTAAGAATTGTAACAAACCTGGTAACAATCTGCCCAGTGGAGCCTTTGAAGCAACTATCCTCATTTACTCAGTGAGCATTATAGAGGAACAGTCGTCAGTGTTCCTGACCTGCATCTGATAATGGCTGAACCACATCATCAAGGTCAAAAGTAAGTCATAAAAAATGGCTTTGTTATAAACCATCAAGTGCCGTTGATGACGTCTGTGTTGTGACCTTCTGAATCCTGCCAAGTTAACCTTTTAAGGAAGGTCTTCACTCCCTGCAGTAGTTTGTAACAGGTGGTCAGACCTGCACAGTACCACACCACCGACTTAACACCAAAACATTTATCATTGTCACCTCAGAGATCCACTACATCCTAACACAATAATAATTCTTGGCTTTTACACAATAAAGGCCAGAGGAGAGATGGAGTGGCAAGAGAAGGCCGCCTTACAGTTGTGTGTGATCAAGACTCATTCATCAGTGGCATAAATGTTGAAGCTCACTATGGCCGAGTCAACATTAAATTATGATTCACATTTGTATAAGTTATCGTAGCGACATCATAACTACCGGTAATGAGCCGTTTGGGCAGTTGGTCTGTTAATACTGTACAGTATGGGAGGAAACTGTAGTATTGTACCTGCAGAAAACCTGCCATGTTTGGGAGTGAGGGTAACATCTGTCCCCAAAACGAGCAGTTTTAATGAAAAAGCTGTGAATTCTAGAATTTTATTCTTTGCCTTTTTTATATCATAAAATGTAGATTTTCCAATGTCGTATGTTTCCATTAGAACAGTATTGCTCACACCACATTCTAGTTTCTTAATTATTTCAAGTTTGTCACTCAATTTCAACGAGTTATTCTTTCTCTTCACACAACGAAGTTTATCACCTATAGGAGCCATTATCATGGGCTTGTACAGTACTCTGTAAATGGAAAGAGTAAGACTCAAAATAATGTTATGTTACACCGGTATTCTATTCATACTGTGCTTGATATAATGCATTCACGGAAATGTAATATTTTTGCTGAAATGGCGTACGTATTACAGAGGAAAGTTGGATAAAATCGTGACGAAAACAATGACTTAATCTTTCTTTCGTTCAAAAGATGTTACCGTAATCCCTTTTCGAATGGTTTTCAGTTAAAAAACTGTTGTATTACAATAATATTCTATCCTAATTGACTTGAATAAATACTACGATACCATATTTCTGAATATTTTCATTAAAATCCATCAAAATCGTTTTCCTTGTCATCGTCTGCAGCACCAAACAGCTTCTCCCGGTCCTCTCCTTGAACGGGGCTAGAGGGTACGTGTTTTTCGAATTGTTTTCAGTTAAAAAACTATTACATCACACGTATATTTTACTTAAACTGCGCCCGAATGAATATATTCTTGGAAATAAATAGTTTTGCTGAAACGTGATGTATTTCAATGTAAAATAGGATAAAAATACATGACGAAAACAAAAGACTTTTCCTAAGCTTCCGATGTTCTTAAGATGTTACTCGTTTTTTTAATAGTTTTCGGATGAAATTCTGTTATATTACAATGATATTCTATTCATACTGTGCTTGATATAATACATTCACGAAATGTAATATTTTTGCTAAAATTACGTACAGATTACAGTGGAAAGTGGGATAAAATCGTGACGAAAACAATGACTTTCGCTTTCTTTCCTTCAAAAGATGTTACCGAAATCGCTTTTCGAATGGTTTAGTTAAAAAACTGTTGTATTACAATAATATTCCTTCCTAATTGAATTGAATAAATATTTGAATGGAAATATACAATATTTTTGTTGAAACTACCCGCGTTTCAGTGTAAAGTGTCGTAATAATAAATGGTAAACAATTTGCCTTCGGCACTTGTGTTTCAGGCACGGCGAGCCTCAGTTTATAGGACATAGAGTGTTTTTACTGAAGGTTTTGCTGTTCCATTACCCTCAAAAACGTGGGTCAAACTATAAACGAGGAATATCATAAATTAACGATTTCTTGATCAAAAAATCAGGGTCGACCTATAAACGGTATGTTGTCACAGTTTGATTGCTCATTTTAAATTGGCGACCACGTGGTCGCTTGTTGTCGCTGTGCAGCTGTGGCGCTCACGCATGCGCACATATACACAAAAGCCTGCTAAAAAAATCAGGATTCTCGGGTGGTCCGGATTTCTGGCATCCGGATTTTTGGACTTTTACTGTAATATAATTTGCATTGCTGAAATCCTTGCAAGAGAGAGATTAATTTGAATATAAGCGTCATATATTTTGCTCAAGATATAAAAAATGTAGTACATTAGTGTACAATACTGTAGTACATTTTATAAAAAGTTTTTCAACTGCATTTTTGGGTAGATTTACATAAATTTCTTAATTTATTTTGATCCATTTACATTCTGAGTAACATCTTTTGAACGAAAGAGAGCCAAAGTCATTGTTTTCGTCACGATTATCCCTCTTTCCACTGTAATACGTACGTCATTTCAGCAAAAATATTACATTTCCGTGAATGTAGTATATCAAGCACAGTATGAATAGAATATCATTGTAATATAACAGTATTTTAACAGAAAACTATTAAAAAAACGAGTAACATTTCTTGAACATCGGAAGGTTAGGTAAAGTCTTTTGTTTTCGTCATATATTTTATCCTATTTTACATTAAAATACATCACGTTTCAGCAAAACTACTACAGTATTTACTTCTGAGAATATATTCATTCAGGCGCAGTTTAGGTAAAATAGACATGTGATGTAACATTTTTTAACTGAAAACGATTCAAAAAACACGTACCCTCTAGCCCTGTTCAAGGAGAAGACTGGGAGGAGCTGTTTGGTGTTGAAAACGATGACAAGGAAAATGATTTTGATGGATTTTAATGAAAATATTCAGAAATATGGTATCGTAGCATTTATTCAAGTGAATTAGGATAGAATATTATTGTAATACAACAGTAGTGACAATGTGGAGAAGGTGGAGGGATAGAGGAGGAGTGGTAACTGGCGGGAGCAGGGACGAGTGGAGATGACAGCCAGTACATTACGGGTGTACAGTATTCATTGTTTTTATAGCTCTTTTTGTATTTTAATATTAAATACTGTACATTACGTTTCAACAAAACTACTATTTATTTCTGAGAATATGGAAATGTAATATTTATGCTGAAATGATGTACGTATTACAGTGGAAAGTGGGATAAAATTGTGACGAAAGCAATGACTTTCGCTTTCTTTCGTTCAAAAGATGTTACCGTAATCGCTTCTCAAATGGTTTTCAGTTGTGGGATTATGAGACTAATGATAGGATAGAATATTATTGTAATACAGTATGGTACAAAAGTTTTTTAACTTAAAACCATTCAAAAAGCGATTACAGTAAAATCTTTTGAACAACGAAAGAAAGTGAAAGTCATTGTTTTCGTCATGATTTTATCCCACTTTCCACTGTAATATGTACGTCATTTCAGCCAAAATATTACATTTTCATATTTATTTCTGAAAATATATTCATTCAGTCACAGTTAAGGTAAAATATACTTGTGATATAATATTTTAATGAAAATACGGTATCGTAGTTTTCTTTTGTTTCAAATTTAATTAACAAAGATTGATGTTTCAAATGTAATGAACAAAAATTTATGTACAGTATCTATAAATAAACTTTAAAAAAATGAATACTTTAAGTTTTACATCGTCCTGTGCATACCATACCATGCATTTGGCTACTTTGGGCTTGCTATGATGACGCAAGAGACTGCCCTGGCGACTGTACCGACACTCAGAGCTGGTGGTGCGTTGGTGTGTTGTTTCCATTGTTTACTGGTAGTTACTGGTAAATATTTTTCAACCTAACGAAACTATTACCCTCTTAGAGGTCGACCCCCAATTTTTTGCCAAATAATTTGGTCTTAAAAACTCGAACTACACACAGGTATACATTATACGGTAAATAAGGACATGGGGGGGGGCCAGGGTTTTTTTAGGGGGGGGGGGGGGCAAAAGTACACGGATTTTTAACATTCACAGGTATCTCTCTTACCTAACACCCCCGCGTATGTTAAGGGCCGACTGTATGTATGCATGCATAAAACAAGTAGAGTATTATTAAACATGATGGTTCATGTGTTATAACAGGAACAGGTACTGCAGTAAGAGGTGTAGTATTACCTGGGCCTCGGCCATATCCTGCCAAACACTGTGCCTTTAACCTCCCCGAACCTCTTCGTTTTGATGATATAATCAAAGATAGTCGTTCTTTCCTCGTGGGAGTAGTATACATCTTTTCTGTAAAAGAAAACTTATGATAATATACTTTCTTTAATATTTTTTCACACAACTAAAAGGAATATCCTTCCTTCTTTAGGCATTTGCCTCCAGGTGTAATGTTAACCTACATCTATTGAGGATAAAATCTTTCACCTACAAATTGACAATAACACATTTGCTGTAATCAGACATATCTAGTTGCCTCAACCCAAACAATAACTGCATTTTTTCTCCCAAATTTTCTTCTTATTGTGGACTAATACTGTAAAACAAGTTAATGATCACCAAAAACAGCACTCGTCTTACACCCCCCCTCATAAACCCCCCAAAAATAAAATAATAATAAAAAACTCATTTGCCTATCAGTATTTATCTTTCCGTCCCTATTATTAGCCAGAGATTTATAATATTGTTAAGTATAATAGTGTGAAATAATAAGGAAACAC